CACCTTTGTTCTCTTCCTGTAACTTCCTGGTCTGGAAAATAAATGCAGGAAGAGAACGCCAGTTCGGCATTAATTTCCCAAGGAAGGGCTGCCTCTCCTTGAAGGGTGCCTTGGAAGTTAACCACTTCGGTGCCTCTCACTATTTGGAAGAGATGGGCTTTAAGTAACCCTTTGCATCTCCATCATCCAGGGGAAGTGGGGGGGGTGACAAATCCATGGGGGGAAAAGCAACACAAAGCAACACCTATCGAAGGACATTTTGGTTGCTTTCAGTTTTTAGCTATAATAGATAAAGCTGCCATGTGTGTGGACACACGCTTCCATTTCTCTGGGATAAATGCAGAATAGTGCAATTGCTGGGTCATATGGTACGTACATGTTTGGTGTTTTAAGAAACTGCCCAACTATTTTCCAGAGTTATCATTTATTTTTTAAAATAACATGAACATGACATGAACATGCCATAAAAACAAAAATGCATGAATTACAGAAAAATCTAAAATCCCTCCTTGTCCACTCCCCATTCCTGCAGGCTGTCAGTTAGGTGAACATCCTACCATTAATTCCTGTGTTATTATACCAAAATGTGCCTTTGCCCTTAGTCTTTCTATTATGAATCTTTTTCATTTCTTTTTAACTGATGAGTGGATATACCATGGTTTATTTATGCATTTCTCATATTTGTGGATTTTGGTCCCTTCTTATTTTTGCTGTCACAAAAAGTGCTGCAACAAATATCTCCAGATTGCCTCTGTTGTCACATCTGTGTTTCTCAAAGATAGACACCCGGGGTGAATGTGCTGGGTCACAGACACGCACATTTGTGACATTGATGGACACTGCCAAATTACCTTCTTAAAAGAATGTCTCAATCAGTACTCCCTCCAGCAATGCATGGAAGTTCCTCCACACCCTCATCCACACTTGATATTACCAATTTTATTAATTTTTAATTTTATTAATTAATCTGATGAGTGAAAAATATTTTATTGTTATTTTAATTTGTATTTCCCTAATTAACCATGAGGATGTATGTACATCTTTTTTTGTAACTTACCATTTTTATGTTATCTTCTATAAGTAACCGTTTGTACTCTTAGACCATTTTGTTGTTGTTCTATTTGACGGTCTTTTCTTTACTGATTTTTAATATCTCTTTTTTTTGTGTGTGTATTAGTCCTTTGGATATTTTATATATGGTGCAAATACTTTTCCAGATTTGTCACTCATTTATTAAATTCGCTTTTGGAGTGTGTGTGTGTGTCATCGCTTCATTTAGTTTAGTCTTATTTTGTATAGTCAAATTGAAAAATCTTTTGCTTTATGTCTCCTGGATTTTGTTTTTGCTTAAGAGATCCTACTTTATTGCAAATTATGAAAATATTCTCTTATATCTTTTCTAAAGTTGTTGGTCTACAAACTACTGGAGCTAATCTCTTTGATTCTTCAGCTGGCACATTAATCTAGAATCCTGGGTTAGGAAATTCATCAATAAATCTGACCTGATTCAACATTATGTTCACTCTCCTGGATCTAGCTAGCATCATAACAATTCATTCCTAAATTTCCCTCCTGATTTTTGTTGATACGTTATAAACTCTTGGAATTCTTTTCATGGGTAAGCTTTCTCTTCCCTAGACAGACCTTTGGCTTCTCTCTTGACATACATGCTGGGATCTACTCTAGACATATCTGGGGACAGCGCTGGGTGAGAAGGTCTTGATGGGTACTGGCACCCCCTCTCACCTACCTCAAGTGAGGCCGTTAAAAGTGTTCAAGCAAAGGAAGATTATTTTTCTCAAAAAGGAAAAGAGGGACTGCATGTTTTGGCAAAGGAGGTTCAGAAGGTCTGGGGATTCAAGATTTTCAGATTCATTGAGTTTGCCAAATGTCTCCAGTCCAGTTCTCAGGGGTTTCTTCCTTTCCATATGTTACATAATTTTCACTTAAAAGGCCTGACAAGGCTGTGAATTCAACCTTTGATGTGATTCTGTAACCCACTGGATCAAATTTTGAGTCTGCTATTCAGTGGTTTTCAGCCCTGCTCCACAAAACTCACAAATTTCTTCTAGGGTCATTGTAGGGAGTTCTCTCTTTCTCTGACAATGCCTCAACTTGATATTTTAAAGCCCTAAAGTTTTATTTTCTTTTTGTAATTTCTCCAGTGAAGTCAGAAGAAGCCAGCCCTACCCCTGAAGTTTTCATGGCCATAATTCCCACAGTAGTGATCAAATTCAATAGCTACTTGACCTCCCAAAGTCTTGCTTTGAATCTGCCCTTCATTTTAGGTAATCACAGCTAATAAGTGAAGGGATGTTTTGCCACTGCATGCCATAGATAGACACTATCTGTATCCCATTTTCCACTGACAATAAGGTCATCAGCATGTCCAATCCTAATCACACCATTTAACTAATACCAGCTTCCCATATTTGGGCATCTAGTTCCTGGGTCCACTCATGGTACCAAGTAGAGTATTAAACAGTCATTAATCAGCAAAACAAAAACCACTCTAGGTCTTTCAAACAGATCCAATTTAATACAGACATTTGCTTATAAAATCGTTGGTAGAGCAGAAGGGAGAAAGGTGTGCTAGAGAGAAGAGGGTTTTTACACAAAGAACAGGAAGCAGTAGTTGTTCCTAGCTGGAGTCAAGCTCCAGGCTGGAAGAGCTGGAGCTGTTCATGCCATGAAGCTGTCAGAGACACTGGTGCTGCCACTGCAGCTATTAGAACTGCACCAGTGCCACTGGGCAAGACCAGGAGCCTTCATCCCTCTGATTCTGGTCACCAGCCTCTGTCAGTGTAGCTGACCAAGACTCCCTCATGACACAAGGAGAATGGTGTCTCTATGGCTCCATCCTTCCTAGCTCTGACCAGCATCACCCGTTGGAAGCCAGGTGGTAGAGAAGCTGGGAGGTGTAGCTTACAGATTTCAGCCCCTGATGCTACATAAAAAACTAGAGAAGGGCAAGATATGTACTCTTTCTCAGGGAGCTATTGGAAGATACACCAGGGAGAAAACCAGGACAGAGGGTGACCTGGGATCTAGGAGACAGGAGATCCCACACAAGAAAGAGGCAATGGGAATGCTCAGGAAGTGGGGATGGGAGAGCCCAGGGCAATAGCTGCACAAGCCTAGGGAGCCCCGGAGCAGGAGGACTGGCAGCCCTGGGTGGGAGGTCTCTCAGGAAAAAAAAGAAAAGAAACCAACTGTGATGTGTTTGGATACACTGAGAGGAGATTTATTGTTCTGTCAGAGAGTTTGGGGGAAAAGTAATAATTAATGTATAGAAAACAAAGTAATAAAAACCAAGTTTCAAGAAAAACAAAATGTGAAAGAAAGGAAGTGTAATCACAGTATACTATGTGGCTCAGTTGTTAATGACAGTTGCACAACACAAAGATGTGAGCTTTGATGATCTGATTTCAGAAAAATGTGGTAAAACGAGGTTTGAAGGGAAGGGAGGAGTTGTGTTGGGGTGAGGGGAGAAGTGAAGAGGGTTAATTTTCACCTTTTACCTTAAAAAGTCAAGAAATAATACTTAAAACTGAAAAACCAAGAAATGCCAATATAACAAAGTTATTTGGACATATGGAGATAAATTTCAGGGGAAAACATAGCTAAAATATTCGAAAATTTTCTTTGAGGAGTTGGTAGAGGTGGAATAGGACAAGAAACTTTTGTTTTTCATTATGGGCCTTGTTGTAGTTAGCTTTTAAAAATGTATTTTAAAAAAGCATTTAAATGTACTTAACCATATTACTTTGGTGAAATATGAGTATAATTTTTAAAATTTACAAATTTTGAGGAATTTTTACCAGACTTTGAAATGATCACTTACAGTTTAATAATACCAACAATGTTTTTTGTTGAACTGTTCTCAAGATCTTTTGTGGAAACCACACATTTGTACTTATCCAGTCTAAATATAGAAGGACTTAGTGATTATTCAAGCTGTATTCCTGATTCTTTTATTTGAGGTTCCCTTCAAATGAAATACAGATAATAATCAATGTATTTTAAAATTTCTTCACTTATGATAAGGAAAAGTCTATTTAAAATTCTTGACATATATTCTGGACAACTTGATATCACTTTGGGCATTCTACGTCTTTTAGGAAAATAGACTCTCTTCCCTCAGCTTTATTGTTTTTCAGATCTTTTCCATTCTGTCTTCCTGGTGCCAAGTTCCTCTGTGTGTTTTGGTGTGATGTCACTGTGGGGAAAGGAATCAAATAAAGAAATATAAAGATGGAAAAAATAATTCCAGCAAACCAACAGCCATTGTTCTAGGAGTGCTGAGAACAGAGTGAGCTGGAAGGGCTTGGCAGGATCTGGTCCCATAGGTAGGTTTTTACATGGTGGTATAACAGACTCCATTGGCTATAGATCTAGGTTGATAGGGCTCAAGGGTAAGTAAGGTTTGATTGCATGGGCTTTGTGATGAGTGAAGAAGCCTCTGCTTCTGGCCTTGGCATCATCGAAACAAGGCCATTGCAGAAGTAATGGTTCTCTCTTCTTAGTTTAGTGGAATGTCTAGTTTCTTGACTTGCAGATAAATCATTTTTTCTTTATTTTTTCCTGGTCTGCAAAAGAAATAAAAGGAGGAGATGAGGAAGAAATTAAGAGAAGGCTGAAAATGACAAATGGGTATTAACTTTGTCCAGGATTAGTTTCGTAATGTATTCTAAGTGGTGCTTCTCATAAAGAAAATGAGCAGAGCTTGGTGAATAACTAATGTGAGTAGGGTGGTTTCTAAAAATCTCTTCTAGAAATGCACTTTGCCTAGGTAAGATCTGTTTTTCAGGAAGTTTTGCCCTTCTCTGTAATAGTGAATGTGGATAAAACCTTAATTCAATCCTATATCAGTTAAAGATGGTGATTGCAAAATCTAGACATTAGTTCTGCCAATAACATTTGAGAAATTGTTTTCACCAAGTTCATTTACTTTTCAGCAGTTTGATAAGTGAAGAATGCAATTAAAAACATCTCTTCAAATTGCAAGTTTTCTCGATCATTTTGTCTTTGTGAATGCCAGGATGTTGCTGATACTCATTGTAGAAATAGTGCTTCCTTCATTATGTTGTTCCCAGCCATGCTCTTTGGACATGTTCCTTTTTATAGTGATATTGAGTCAGGTGTGGGCTGTTCTCAGGCTTCCAGCTCCTCACAGAATTTCTCCCACCTGGAGGCAGTTGGTCCTTCTTCAGTTTCTAGACCAGTCAAATCTGAGACAAAGGGTAGCAGAAGCTCATCCAAATCACGCAGTGGGGCTAGAATCCTTTAATACTCCAAATGGGGGAGCCCAATCAAGTCTGCTGAGCTCCTACGGTCTCTCCACCACCACTATCTGCAGCAGTAGCAACAACAGCAACATCAGCAATAAAAGCAGCAGCAAGAGCAACAACAGCAATAGCAATGAACATAGCAGCAGCAGCAGCAGCAACAATAACAACAGAAGCAATAGTAGCAGCAGCAATAAAAGCAGCAGCAGCAGCAACAGCAGCAGTAGCAATAACAGCAGCAGAAAGAGCAGCAGCAACAGCAAAAACACTAACAATGGCAGCAGCAGCATCGGTAACAACAGCAGCAGCAGTGGTAACAACAGAAGAAGTAACAGCAGAAACAGCAACAGCAGTATCAGCAAAAACAGTAATGACAACAGCAGCAACAGCAATGACAGCAGCAACAACAACAGTAAAAGCAACAATAGCAGCAGCAGCAAAATCAGCAACAAAAACAATAGCAACAAAAGCAGTGGCAACAACAATAGCAACAATAACAACAGAAGTAGGAACAACAGCAATGACAACAGCAGTAACAATGGCAGCAGCAGCAGCAGTAACAATGGCAGTGGCAATAACAACAGAAGCCACAACAACAATAGCAGTGGAAACAGCAACAAAAACAGCTGCAATAACAGCAGCAGCAGTAACAGTAACAATAGTAGCAGCAGTGGCAACAACAGAAGAAGCAACAGCAGCAACAGCAACAGCAAAAACAGCAGTGACAACAGCAGCAACAGCAATGACAGCAGCAGCAGCAGCAGCACCAGCAGCACCAGCACCAGGAACAGCAACAACAGCAGCAACAACCAGCAGCAAGAGCAACAGTGGCAGTAGAAATAACAGCAGTGGCAATAGCAACAACAATAACAATAACACTAACAGCAGCAACAACCAGCAGCAAGAGCAACAGTGGCAGTAGAAATAACAGCAGTGGCAATAGCAACAACAATAACAATAACACTAACAGCAGCAACAACCAGCAGCAAGAGCAACAGTGGCAGTAGAAATAACAGCAGTGGCAATAGCAACAACAATAACAATAACACTAACAGCAGCAACAACCAGCAGCAAGAGCAACAGTGGCAGTAGAAATAACAGCAGTGGCAATAGCAACAACAATAACAATAACACTAACAGCAGCAACAACCAGCAGCAAGAGCAACAGTGGCAGTAGAAATAACAGCAGTGGCAATAGCAACAACAATAACAATAACACTAACAGCAGCAACAACCAGCAGCAAGAGCAACAGTGGCAGTAGAAATAACAGCAGTGGCAATAGCAACAACAATAACAATAACACTAACAGCAGCAACAACCAGCAGCAAGAGCAACAGTGGCAGTAGAAATAACAGCAGTGGCAATAGCAACAACAATAACAATAACACTAACAGCAGCAACAACCAGCAGCAAGAGCAACAGTGGCAGTAGAAATAACAGCAGTGGCAATAGCAACAACAATAACAATAACACTAACAGCAGCAACAACCAGCAGCAAGAGCAACAGTGGCAGTAGAAATAACAGCAGTGGCAATAGCAACAACAATAACAATAACACTAACAGCAGCAACAACAGCAACAATGACAATGGCAAGAACAATAGCAACAACAGCAGCAGCAAAAATAGTGTCAATAACAATAGCAGCAACAATAGCAGTGGCAGCAGCAGGAGCAGCAGCAACAATAACAACAGCTACAACAGCAGCAACAGCAACAGTAGCAGCAGCAGCAATAACAGCAGCAGAAAGAGCAGCAGCAACAGCAAAAACACTAACAACAGCAGCAGCAGCAGCACTAGCAATGACAATAGCAACAACAGCAGCAGCAGCAACAGCAGCAGCAGCAATGTCAGCAGCAGCAGAGGCAACAGCAGCAGTAGCAACAGTAACAACAACAGCAGCAGCAACAACAGCAATGACAGCAGCAACAGCAACAGTAGCAGCTACAATAGCAGCAGCAGCAAATTCAGCAACAAAAACTATAGCAAAAAAAGCAGTGGCAACAACAATAGCAACAGCAACAGTAACAACTGAAGTAGGAACAACAGCAGTGACAACAGCAGTAACAATGGCAGCAGCAGCAGCAGTAACAATGGCAGTGGCAATAACAACAGAAGCCACAACAACAATAGCAGTGGACACAGCAACAAAAACAGCAGCAACAACAGCAATAACAGCAGCAGCAGTAACAGTAACAACAGCAGCAACAGTGGCAACAACAGAAGCAACAGTAGTGATAGCAACAGCAGCATCAGCAATAATAGCAATGACAACACTGGCAATAGCAATGACAGCAGCAGCAGCAACAGTAACAACAATAACAATGCCAGCAACACCAGCAGTAATAGCAGCAGCAATAGCAGAAGCAACAACAGCAGCATTAGCAATGACAGCAGCAGCAAGAGCAACGGTGGCAGTAGCAATAACAGCAGCAACTATAGCAGCAATAGCAACAATGGCAGCAGCAACAACAGCAGCAACAACAACAGCCAAAGCAGCACAAACAGCAAAAACAATAGCAATAGCAACAACAGCAACAGCAGCCACAACAACAGCAGCAACAATAATAACCACAGCAATAGCAGCAGCTACAACAACAGCATCAGTGACAGCCAAAGCAGCAGCAATACCAACAGCTACAATGGCAGCATCAGCGACAGCCAAAGCAGCAGAAACAGCAACAGCAGCAACAGGTACAATAGAAGCAGCAATAACAACAGCTACAATAGCAACAACAGCAACAGTAGCAGCAGCAACAGCAGCAAATGACAAGCACAGCAGCAGCAGTAGCCGCCGTTGACTGACTACTAGCTAAATGCCAGGCACTGCACTGGGGGCTTCACTGCACAGTCCCATTTGTTCACCCATTTGTGAACACCCTGAAGGTGAGATAAGTGCAGGGACCCTGGAATCTGGCTACCAGTGTTGGAACTTTGGCTCTGTCGCTTACTGGCTGTATGACTTAAGGCAAGTCCTTAGTCTCTCTGTGCCTGGTTTTTTTCAGTTATCAATGGGGTTAATAATAATACCTGTTCCATAGGGTTGTTGTAAGGATTCAATGAGAGAGTACATAAGAAGGGTTTGGGAACCACTGGTTGAGAACTCTTAGTAACTGTTAGCTGTTGTTATTCTCATTTTCCAGAAAAGGAAACAGTCTTAAGAGGTGAAATAGGGTGTATGTTGGTAAGTGGTACAGGCTATATTTGTAACTAGGATGGGCCCAGCACCCTTAGGAACCAGTGACTTGAATGGTGGGGGAGGCCTCCTGCCCTGCCCTGTTCCTGTGCTGTACCTGGGGTCTGCTCCATGCCACCTGTGCTCTGCCCTCCTGCTCCCAGACACCCTGCCTCCTGCAGGCTGTGCCCCCTGCCCCTGTCTCTGCACGTGGACTCTTCTCCCAGCTCTGGCTCGGCCCTCACCTTCTCACACTCTCCTTCTGTGATTCCCCAAGCCTTACGCAGATCTGTCTTCTATATGTGAACAGTGAACTAGGTTATGTAACACGGAAAAAAGAAAAGTGCAAATGTTCATAGGAGTTATCTGTAGATCACATAAATAGAAAGAATGGAAAATAATAACAGGAATAATCTTTTGAAATATCTTTTTAGCCTGCTTTGACCCACCCTCATGAAAATGAAAAACTCTGACAAGTATAGGTGTGTGCGTGTCACTGGGCCACTCTTCACCTCAAAACAACTCAAAACATATTTTAAAATTTGATTTCCAATGAATAGTCTAGCTACGTATTTTCCAGTTCTATAGAACAGCTATAAAAGCATCTAAACATTGGCTCTTGGACATTCATTAAGGATCAGGCACTTGACAAGCAGTATCCCATTTAATTGTTAAAAAAATCCAGTGAGCAGTACTGTTGTCCCCATTTACAGATGAAGAAACTGAGACGTGGAGGTGTTAAGGCCATACAGATGGGAAAAGTGAGGATGGTCCATCAGACTCTACAGCCCATGCTCCTCACCAGCACGAATTACTGCCTGCCTGACACTGGAGCTGGCTAGGAAAAGGAACTTCAATCAGGGATGCTGTTGAAGGACCTCAGCATTTATTCCACAGGTATTGGTGAGCTCCTGATCTGTGTGTTCAGGTTCTGTGCTAAGCCCTAGGGACACGCAGTACACAGGATATCACGTCTGTCTTCAAGGGGAGGTGCTCATGCATGTGGGGAACTGCACTGAGACAGGGGGA